GCGTTTACCGCGGAATTCGCGAAAAATCCCGGCGTTGTTTCCCCGCTCGCCGTACCGAAGAAGAAGAGGAATATAACCGCCGGTATCTCCAGGTGTCTCGGCGATTTTGCATTATCTCGGAGAAGAGGAGACTCGTGAGAAGCCGTGCCTTTACATAATCAGGCGTGTTACGCTCGAAATTCACGTTACGGTCACCGTGCGCGCGATCGGACCGAGATTCGAGGCGAGTTTATCACACCGCTGTACAGGAAAGGCAAAGAGCCAGCCAAGGTTTTCCTGCAGCGTCTGATAAAGACCGGGCATGACGGCTGGTCCTTGCGCGTCGGCCTTCTATTCCGGCAATATCGGACCACCGTGAGTGTGATGTAACGTCAGGAATGCGTCAAACGATCGCCGTACGCTGGGAGATTGAGAGCCGAGCACTCGCGGCTGGTAAGTCGGATCTCGGGGAGCGAAGTCCCCGGAGACGGTGCAACTCGGTGGAAGTCGGTGAATATTTCGAGCGTGTCTCGGGGATCCGAGACAGGTAGCGTGGACGAGAAAGCGAGTGTCGAAGGTTGCAGAATCGTGCCGTCCGCGAGAAACTAGTTGCTACGCCAATGACGTTACCGGTACAGTATACCAGTTCGACTCGGAACTTTTCTACAAACAGGTACGAGCTCCGTAGGAATCCCGTTGAACGGCAAGAGCAGCACGCGCGCGCGGTTTCCATCAATACTTTAAAATCCAGCTCCTCGTCCACGTGAGCGTGTGTGAAGAAGAAGATTCCCCTTGTACGATGGCGGCCCCGCGCGCGCCATCCTAATTGCGCTTCCTTCGCCGAGTAATCGTTGCTGACGTTTAACGACTGCGTATTGATCGTACATCGAGCGTTTAATAATACAGCCGATAATGCGCACGGGACACTTTTCTCCCGATTACGGGTGAATGGTAATAGCGGCGCGTTTCTGCGAACCGCAGAAAATGACGGCATAAGGCACCGGCGTGGCCAGTTGTTTCCACACGTTAATTGTGCACCCACGTTATTTATATATTAGAAGAATGTTGAAGTTTACGCGCGCGTCAAGCCTGAGATACAGCTCTCGGCACGTATAGACGGTGTAGCGGAGCCTCTCACGTTCGTTTGTGGATACTCAACGGTGTGGTGATCGTTTGTGATTTGGAACTTTATCTTATCTAGCATTATGTAGCATGTGTACTGATAATAGCGGAATTGTAAATAACGGCGTAATTTACCGCTCGTCTTAATTTATTTCGCAGATATCTCCCGTACCGCATTAACTTTCTACTTTGCCAATTGCGGGGCAAAACAGAGACGTCAAAACCAGCTCTCCTCTTTCCCGAAAGGTTCGAGCCGCGAAAATTCACGCGACAGTCGGCGGACTTAAGCGGCGTCTGCAATGAGATTTTATGGCGTATGATTTGAGAAATTGCCCGATCGTAATTGATTTTTCTTCTATGATTCGGCTGTGATTTGTCAAATTTTTAAGTCTTGCGCCATAAATTCTCGTTGTGGACGTCGCTTTAAATGTAGTCCTTCCCACTCATCCTCCGTAATTGACTTTTCTAACGTTTCCTTGGGTGCACGGTAAATTTATATATAGAATCAGGTTAAAGAAATATCTGGCCCAGCTGTTCGTTCACTGTCGTCAAATATAAATTTTCGCTTCAGCATGAATATATTTTACACGAAAAATGAAATAGCTCCCATGAGAAAAAAATTAGCTATCTATATAATGCAACTGAAACTTAGTTAATTTAGCTAATTACATCCGTCCCCGTGCCTAGTTTTTAGCTCCCACAGCTAAGAACTAAGTCTGGTAGCTAAATTTCAGTTCTATTATTCGGAACGGTTCCTTCTTTCCGTGTAGCCGCGCACAATAGTCTAGTCAATTACGCTATTAGTATGCTGTGTTATTCAACAAAAATATTCCGTGTGCGCACGGCTGGACGAGCGGTTCCCCATTGAATATGATTAAACGTTAGATTATACGAGAACGTTATTCTCGAGGAAAAACCCCCTGATTAAATGAAGTGGAAAATTTCTGCCGGCGAGGTGACGGAAAAGGCTCATTACGCGCGCTTGTCATTCAACTTGATGCATCAGAAAAACTCGAATTACTTCGCGGCGATTACTTACCATCGACCCGATCGTGAAGACGACGACGATGTCGCCGGTCGCCTCGCGGCGTCGTTCATCATACGCGTCGCGTATCCTAACTTATACGCGCGGCATGCATCCGGTCGCTCAAAGTCGCAGGCGAGTCCCGTATAACATCGTATCGTCGCGTACGCATTGTGTAGTAAAAACCGTAGTACGCGCAAACGAGGCGAAACTCCACGGGGCACTTTCGTGCACGAAGGACACTCTAGCTCCTACGTGGCTCTACTCCCACTCCCACCTCCTTCTTTTCCTCCTCCACTTGCGACCAATCGCTTCGAATTATTCGCCGGAAGCGACCCTTACTTCTTCTCTGTATGCGTGCACGAAGAATTTCTAAGACGGGTCGAGTGGCTCGAAAGATACTTTTGGAATTTCGTTGTCTCTGTTTGAATTCTATTATCGGCCGATACGTTGAGGCTCTTAAGTAGTCGCTGCTCTTGTTTGATGACGTCAGAAGCGGGAAAACGCAAGAATTCTTGCGTTTTACCGTTCGAATAAAAATGATACACTCACAAATTCTCATCGATTCGGTAACACACTGTAAACATTGCCCCGTGCACTTTCCTTTTTATTCGGACAGGCGATAAATAGGATCCACGGGTTTTTTTTTGAGAAACCATAAATGATTTCCTGCTGTTATCGGATGATATTTCTCCAAGTTGTACACACGGCTCGTACGAACGGGAAGAGACTGGCGAAGCTGCGCTCGAAATTTTCGTTCCAGGCTCAGCGGCCGAATTACTTAACGTTGAAACTATTTTAATTCCAGCCTTCAATTTGCTCGTTCTCATGCGTCGCAAAATAGCGTCGAATAGAAGCTTCATTCAGAAGGAACTCGGTTTCCTTCCCAGAAGGTGTCCTCGTAAGAGCCGCAACCTCTCGGCGATGGTTGCCACCATTGCGTCTGGTCGCTCCTATTTTTATTTACAACACGAAGGAGCGTTCGCATACAAACGGACATCCGAGAGGCTCCTCTACGTTAGTAACCTGAAGAGCGAGGAATTCCGCGTGCTCAAGCGAATTTCTTCGCGCGGAAAGCGAACGGAAACCGCGAGGTTCAACGGTGGGAGGCTCTCCTGCGCGACCGGGAACGTCGTGTTCAAACACCGAGAGACACGCGAGCCTCTTTTCCCGAACATTATCCCGCATTGAGAAAATTACCTATTAATTAGCGGGCGTCACAACGCGCGTAGATGCGCGTACCTAACGATTTGCGCGAGCACGTGACTCGTGCGATGTGTCATTCTCTGTCGGACGCGCCTGAACTTTAGGAAACACATCCCGCTGCGCTCGAGGATATTCATAGGGGTCCTTGCTCGGCGAGCTCTGTTCTGGATTATTCGGCTTCTCACGATAGAGCGGTCGATAGAGGAGACGCGAACCCGTCGAGAGCCGGGCTTCGAGAGAAGCTCATCGAGCTGGAGCAAACGCGGAGGAGCTTCGGTGTCTCGGATGAACGAACGAAAGCGAGTGGGACCGAAGTCGACCGAGCTACTTCGCTCTTTCAGTGTCGGCCCGTCTACAAACGGGGCCTCCAAGGCCGGCGGTAAGAGCGAGTATGCGCGTTGAAAAATACGATATTTAACTTTCTCACGAAGAAAACGCATAACTTCGCGAATACCTCTATTACGACGGCGAAGTAGAGGAGGAGGACGCGACGTGCATGAAGTTCGGCGAAGGTACTCGAGGGCCGCCTATTACCTATCGGCTTCGTCGAGAAAAAATCTCGCGCGTATGACGAAGCTCATTTCATAACAGGTCATTAGGAGAGCTCCTTAATTGTTAGTAAAGAAAGCAAGCCGACAATTAACGTCCGGCGGGGGGGGG